TATATCTAAAGGAACATAAATTCCCTGATTGAAAAGATATCTGTGTTCTCATGTCCATTTGAATGCTTTTCATAATAGTCAAGATATAGAGGGTAACATAAATGTCTGCAGATCATTGAAAGTATAAAGAAAATGTATAAATTACATGGGATATTCTTTGGGCTTAATAATGAAGAAAATTCTGCTCTTTGTAACAACATGGATGAAACTGGCAGAGATGCTAATTAAATGAGCCAGGCATTGAAAAACAAATGCCACATAGGCTCACTAATATGATGCCACCTGTCATGTTTTAGGTGACTACTACATCCATCTACATAATAGAGCACAGCCACCACTCAGCCCAATGTACATGCATTGGGGTACCCTAGAGTTATTATGATACAGAGTCAGTGCTTCTTTTGGTAAAATGTCCATCCATCCATTCCACAGCTTCTCTGAGAGCAACTATTTTTAGGCTTTCACATGGGAAATAAAATACAGAATGAGCCAACACTGGGGTTATGCGGAACTGTGGTGCCCTCTACTGTTTCCCAGACTTAAAGCTACAATGTTCGGTTTCATTCAATAAAAGAAGAAATGCTAATGAACAAATAGGAATGTGGCCAGCAGGCCATTATTAAACCAGGACGAACAATGAATTCAAAGTTACCCCAAACTTGTTGAAAGGACAGTACACAGATGTCAAGAACTGCAAGTTTCTGTAAGGCTTGGCCTTTTGGTCATCTCCAAGTTCCTTCAGATCTATCTACTTTGAATCATATACCTGTGTTGAATATCACATAAACACTGCTGGGGAAAATGTGACATCATTTCATCGTAGGAAGGGAGAAGGGACTTAGGCAACATGATCACATGCAAGGGGCTTGGAGGTAGTGATGCAACCCTGGATGACTTCAAGTTCACAATTCTGCTTCAGCCCTCCCCACCCCCCACGTGTTGGGATTATAGGTGTGTGCCACATGCTTGCTTTAAATAGCTTTAACGAATGGATCTTAGTTATCATAATTTTCATTTTTATGTTTAAGTGTGTTGTTATGAAACTAATGCACCAAAGCATAGAAATTTCAAATATAGTCTATCAAATGAAAGGATCTTATATGGATGATACACTGCTGATGATGAAATAATATTTGTAACTTTGTAATATTTGTGACACATACAGAAGTCATCCCTTGTGTACATCTTTTTTTTTTGCCAAAATAGTCCCAACAACTTTCTATTTCCCAATTATTTAAGTCTTCCTATGTACATTATGTTGTTTAGTCAAGAGAATAATGGATATCTTGGCATTTGTAAATCTAGAAGTAACGTAACAGGTTAAAAACATAATAAGTTGGTATAAATCCAAATTAACCATTTTTAATTCAATGATTTTAATTATGTGCATTTTGCATCACCATGAAAAAAATGTCAGGAGCAATTAACTTGCAAGTAGGAAATATTCATGTGGGCAGAGTTCTGAGATTTTGGTACCATTGCCTTTGAGTCTGTGGCTAGTTAGCTCTCTGTGACTGGAGGGGTGTAGGGTTTAGGAAGGTGCTCAAAGGAGCAAAAAAAAAAAAAAAAAAAAAAAAAAAAAAAAAAAAAACAAGGTTGGCTCCCCCATTTCCCTTTATCACCAGTCACCACCTTCTTCATTAGCCTCGCTGACTGGTGACCACATCTGGAAACTGAACCTTCCGGGGACATTTAGAATCTTAACTACAGAATTCTCAAGAGATTTTATCTTAGTGACACATCTTCAAAGAACTCAGCAAATGGAGAAGTGTGTGTATTCAGTTTATCCATGTCAGAAACATCTTGTATTTCACGAAGAGCTTCCTGAGCCAGAGTTATTTAAGACTGTGGTTAACTGCATAGCTGAGATAAGCACTATTATATACATGCAAATGTTAATGTTTACATACCATTTTTGAAATAATGTTACAGTTTCTTATTTTGGGAAATCTAGAATCTCTGTAATGTATAAAAGAACCATCAGATAGCTCAGATTTGCCCAATGCCATGTCTAACAAATTGGAGAATGGGGAGGGTTTTATGCTCAGCACTGATACAGAAGGCTCCAGCAGAATCTGAGAGATTTGCCTCTGCTCCTAATCACTATTAGAAGTCAATGAACAACTCTGTGCCCACAAACTCTGGAGCACAGAAGCAAACGCTGGCGTTTCGCTTTTAGTCTTTTCTGTTCTTTGATTTTTTTAAAAAAAAAGACAGGGTCTTGTGTATTCCGGCCTGGCCTAGAACTCTCATTGCAGTGGAGAATACCCTCCATCTTCTGCTCTGCCTCCTGGGTTCTGGGATTGCAGGCATATGCCAGTCGTGGTGGTTACACAGTGCAGGGAATAGAACCCAGTGCTTCCTGCAGGCGAAGTAAACACGAAGTCCTTGCCCACATCCAGAGGAAACAACACATTGCTGTCAAGGGAAGAGCTGCCTTGGCACCCATCTTCTTTTGTAGCATTTGAAAGGGCCTCCTTTTGCCCAGTGGTAATTAGTATGGGCTGTCCTTGTCTCCGCGGAAACTATGCTACTGACATTGGACAGACACCAATCATGTTAATCAGTCCCATGTACCCGCTGAGAAGACAGTGCCTTCCTTCCAGGCCCCAGAGGGTCACCTGAAAGCCTTTCCCTGTCTGTGACCTACTTTTTTAGGTCGGTGACCCCATACCCTTTCTCTGCACTAACCATTCCACAGCTTGTCAAGGAACGGGTTTTCAGCAAAACCCTAAACATGTCCTGCTGTTGTGAAAGGGTTTCATTGTAAGATCCAGCAATGTATTAACCACTACCCCCGAATTAAATGAAAAGGGTTCTCTTGCACCAGTTTCTTTTTAAAAAGAATGGCTGGATAAACCCAAAGATGCTACTGCGGACTAAGGAAGAACAGAGGGGCTGGCCACCCTACCTGACATAAGCAGGCCTAGCATCCGCCTAGGTTACAGGCTCTGCTGCCAGTCCTTTTCCCCTCCAGCCTAAAACCAGTGATTATTCCGGGGGAACCAAATCTGCTTCGAAGGTCCACAAGAAACTTCAACCGAAATATGGTCCATCTCCAAAGACAGCGGCTCCCAAGCCCTCCCCTCTGGGCTGAGTGGGGGCCCGGCATTTAGTGAGCGTCTGGCGGCCTCTACCGGGCTCCTCGGCATAGAGACGTTCCTCAAACCCAGACACGACATGTGGCGCTCCAGAGAGGTGAGAGCGAGCGCGAGTCCGCCGGGGGCGCTGGGGAATCTGCAG